ACAGGAGGTTCAGGGACTGAAGGTTCAGGGACTGAAGGTTCAGGGACAGGAGGTTCAGGGACAGGAGGTTCAGGGACAGGAGGTTCAGGGACAGGAGGTTCTGAACTACTGATTCAGCAGCAACTCTGTGGAACATGGCTTCTTTAAATCACCTCATGAGTTCCTGCAGAGACAAGAACCTTAAGTGGACATGATGAAGATGATGGTGAAGAATCTTAGACTTTTAATTTGTAAACTCCTTCCTGTTGAACTGATATCAGCAGAATAATTTCTGACAACATTCGCAGCTTTTCGTTGACAACATGTTGTTCTGGTTTTGGTCGAGTTGAGGATGGACAGGATGGAACCGCAACCACAGAAAGGGACCGCCGCTCCACCAGAAGTCCACGGGAAGTCTTGTTTCTGGTTCACAGAGCTACTTCCTGTCTGCCGGGGTTACCGTTGGCTGCTGGGGCCACGATGATGGCGGTGGGCGTGGCCTTCTTGATGGAGGTGAGGCGGATGTGGGAGGTGCTCTGCAGGTAGCTGGGCTGGCGTTCTGGGTGGGGCCTCTGACCACAACACAGCTGACTGAAAGAAGAGCCGAAACAGCTGTAAACATCTGCACCATCCACATGTTGACTCTCACCTCAAACCTCTAGACTCTTATTCTGTTAGCCTGATTTATGAACGGTGGGCGATAATGAAACTACCCGTGTCTCTGTGTGTGTGTCTGTTAGCAAAATACCTCATGAAACAGTGTAGATTTTACTGAAACTCAGAAAGTAATCATTTACTACGGAATAACTTTTGGAGTCAACTCAATTTAAGATGGTCACCAGAGCTACTGTTAGCTGGCAACATGCCAGTAAGAGGCGCTGTGATGTTTGTAATGCAACGACATGCAGACACTTTAGTCTCCAGCATGAAGGTTCAACGTTCTTTATTGTCACGCTCATCACATGTGGTACATGAGGTGGAACAAAACTGTGTACTCGAGGTACCAGTTACACCCAAAATCAGCAAAACTATAAAGTATAAAAAGAAACAGTATATAAGGATCTAAAATATACACTGAACACTAATGTAAAATAATACAGTGTATTAAACAGCAGCCTGAACATGAGTCTGTAGTGAGCAGATGGGTTTGAATACAGAAGCTTAAAGTCAAGAAATCAGCAGCATGGATAATCAGCAGCACCGATAAGTCACATATCACCAATTTGATGGGGTAGAGGCAGGGCAGCCGACTCGGGACTTGAAAGTCCCAGGTTCAAGCCCCAGTCATTGCACATCTTGTGGTGTCTCTGAGCAGGACACCTCATCCCCAGTTGCTCCCCAGGCACCTTCAATAGCTGCCCACTGCTCCACCTGGTGGTGGATGGGTTAAATGCAGAGAGCCAATTTCTGCATTGTATGGGAACATACAATGATGACAACACATAACACATTATTATTATTATTATTATTATTAAAGTGACATCACAGTGATTATTCTGGTTAGAGATTCATGAGTCTAACAGCCTCAGGGTAGAAGCTGTTCCTCAGTCTAGTGGTTCTGCACTTAATGCTCCTCAACCTCCTTCCTGAGGGGAGCTGGGCAAAAAGTGTGTGTGCTGGGTGGGTGGGGTCCTTCATGATGCAGGTGGTCCTCTTCCTGCATCTGGAGGTGTAGATGTCTGTGATGGTGGGGAGACTGACTCCAACATCTTCTGTGCAGCCTTCACCACTCTCTGCAAAGCTTTTCTTTCTGCAGCTGTGCAGCCTCCATGCCACACGTTGATGCTGGAGCACAGGATGCTCTCCACTGCACACCTGTAGAAGGAGGTGAGGACTGAGCTTCCAGACCAGCTCGTCTCAGCCGCCTGAGGAAGTAGAGTCTCTGATGAGCTTTCTTGATCAGGCTGGTGGTGTTGTTGCTCCAGCTGAGGTTGTTGTTCAGGTGTACACCCAAGTACTTGTAGCTGGAGACCACTTCCACTGCAGATCCTCTTATGTTCGGACGGAATTGGGCAGTGTTAGGTGTGTTTGTTCCTTCTGAAGTCCACAATCATCTCCTTCATCTTCTTCACATTGATGTGAAGGTTATTCTCTTTGCACCAGCTCTCCAGGTGTTCCACCTCTTGCCTGTAGCTGGACTCATCATTGTTTGTGATGCATCCCACCACCACTGTATCATCTGCAAACTTTACAATGTGACAGCCTGGATGGGTAGCTGCACAATCATATGTGAGCAGAGTAAACAGGAGGGGGCTCAACACACATCCCTGAGGAGAGCCAGTGCTGAGGGTTATGGTGGAGGAGGAGAGGTTGTGGATCTTCACTAACTGTGGTCTGTTTGTTAAGAAGTCTAGGATGATGCAATGGAGGGGCTTAGTCCTAGTTTGAGTAGTTTGTCCATCAGCGTTTGGGGGATCATGGTGTTGAAGGCAGACGTGAAGTCCACAAAGAGCATATGGACGTAGGAGTCCTTCTGCTCCAGGTGGGTGAGAGCAGTGTGGACCACAAAGGAGATGGCATCTTCTGTTGATTGGTTTTCGTGGTACGTGTACTGATGAGGGTCCTCGTTGATGTTGATGGTTGTTCTGATGTGAGTCATGACCAGTTTTTCGAAGCATTTAGCAACTATCAGGGTGAGGGCTACTGGCCGATAGTCATTCAGACCAGTCACTGTAGAGCTCTTTGGGACTGGGACTGGGATGGTGGTGGTCTTCAGGCAGATGAGAACTGTCCCCAGCGTGAGTTAAAGATGTTGGTCAGCACCTTGCAGAGCTGATCGGCACGGTCTTTCAGCTCCTTCCCGGGGATGTTGTCTGGGCCGGTTGCTTTGTGAGGGATAGTCCTCCTGAAGGTCCTCCTCACTTGGGCTGAGATCACACTGAGGGACTCCTCTTTTTGATGGTGAGGTGAGTCTGGTGCTGGGTGGTCTATTTAGGTCTTCAAAGGGGGCATAGAACCTGTTAAGTGCATCAGACAGTGATGGGTCCCTAGGGCATTGTGCACATCTGCTTTTATAGTCTGTGATGCACTTAATGCCCCTCCACATGCTTTGTGAAAACAGTTGCAACCAGACTGGTGAAAAGAGGAATGTTGGTTTGGACCTAGGATGATGTTGGGTTGCTCCATCATGTTATAAGGAGTGATCAGGACAAACAGCACTCTGCTGTCCTACACTGTTACTGCTGTTCATCTACCCGTGCAGAAAGGAGTCCCCAGAGAAAACAACAGGGAGAACATAAACTACACCCAGAAAGGCCGGGAGGAGAACCTGCAACCTTCTCACGGTGAGGTGATGGTACTTGCTTCCACTAAATGTCATTGATGGAGGTTGTCCTTTCTTCACACATGGAGCAGGAATCTGATCTGTTTGTGATCCTGTTTGTATTTATTATAGGTTCTTTACTTCTTCCGTATGTTTTGCAGCAGATTTCTCGTCCCACAGTTTTCAGCTATTTCAACAAATCATAAATCAAAACGTTCGGCTCTTTCAGGACAATCCTGCTATAACTTTTGGTATTGCTGCAGCATTAGCTTTTTGAAATATTTAGCCTTTTCTGCCATTTGTTTCCTCAGAGAAAATGAACTGAGCTCATTTTACATCCTTCAGATCTTTAGTTCTGTTTACAACCTTTTACAGCTCCTTTCACATTTTGTTCTGCTTCAGCTTCTTTCAGCTTCCTGCTGCAAACTTTAACTTTTTTTAGCTAATTTTGGCTGTTTTTAAAAAAATTCAAGTTTTTTTGTAGTAATTTCTGCTACTTTCAGCCTAATTAACTTATTTCTACTATCCAACAATGTTGTCTGGTCATCTGGACGGTTTCTTTTGTTGCTGAGATGTTTCGTCCTTCATCCAAAGGACTTCTTCAATCTGAAGAGCCACCAAACCAAAATGAATCCCAGAAACGGCTCACTCCCAGAGTGGGAAAGAAACAGTTTACTGGTGATAAGATGGCCTCCGGGGCCCGCCCTCGCCCCTGTCAACTCCTCTAAAGGCAGCCATGCCAAATGGTTCAAAACACCAAAGTTCAAGCTCATTTGCTCAAAGAGCTCACATGTTGCTCACATGCTCAATCCAGGTCAAATGGAGAGGGTGGGCCCCGGAGGCCATCTTGTCACCAGCAAACTGGTTTGTCCACTATGGGAGTGAGCTGTTTGTGGGATTCAGTTTGGTTTGGTGGCTCCTCAGACTGAAGAAGTCCTTCAGATGAAGGACGAAATGTCTCAGCAACAAAAGAAACCGTCCAGATGACCAGACTGTTGGATTTATACCTGGATTATTGAGCATGAACTTTAGTGTTATTTTTACTATATTCAACTTGCTCCTTTCAGTTTTTTCTGCTATTTATTTCATTTTTAATACATTTTTCTTTTATTTGTTCTTCTCAGTTTACATTCTTTCTTTATGATTGTCTATTGTTGTCGTTGTTGTCGTCCCTCTTTGTTAAAATCAGGTCTCTCTTGTAAATGACTCCCTGATGCTCATTGGGATTAACCTGTAGAAATAAATGTTGAAGGAATTAATTTAGCTGTTTTTGTGCTCATTTTAGCCTTTTTTAGATAATTTACTAAATTTTGTGCTCATTTCTGCTCATTCAAACCTATTTCAGCAAATATGTGTTCTTTGTGCTTTCTTCTGCTCACTTAGGCTTGTTCTTTCATTTCAGCTACATTTCAGCATGTTTTAGCTAATTTCAGCTGTTTTCAGCGACTTCTTAAGCAATAAGCGTTCACCCTGCTCTTTCTCAGGAAATGTAACTTCTCTAGTTTAGTTTTATTGTTTGCTTTTTACTCTCCAATGTTACGACGGCCTTTAAAGACAGCGTTCGTGCACATGAAGACCTGAGAGCGTTTCGTTTTTAAATTCGGACTCTTCCGGTCAGCTTGGCAGATTTCAGACCAAAGCATTTTTTTTTTCAGGAGGAGAAAAATCGGACCTGTTGAAGTGTCGGCGGAAACTCTCGCTGAGCAGGTACAGGGCGAACGGGTTGACGCAGGAGGAGGAGAAGCTGAGGACCCGGGCCAGCAGGGTGATGACCAGGTGGGCCAGAGACAGGTCCATCTGGTGGTAGTGGAAGGACCGGTACATGTAGAGCACGTGGTTCGGGAACCAGCACAGGGCAAAGAGGCCCACGAAGACCAGAACGATCTTAGCCAGACGCTTCCTGGTCTCCATCTGCAGAAGAAACCAAGTTTTAACAAAAGAAGAGGTAGAACTGCATCATCTTAGAATATCTTGACTCAGCACATCTGACAGCTTCACTCAAAATACTGTCATTTTAAAACCACAGTACTATAGTTCATCATTTCTTATCTGGCAACCCGACTGACATGGAAACTACAGTGCTGTCGTGTAAACCTGCTCATTTTTTGTTTATTGCCCCCAGTAAACATAAAAAAAAACTCTGTAAACTTGTGTAAACGGGGCCTAATAGCAGGTAGATGACTTGGTCATCTGAAAAGGAGCTGCAGGCTCAAAAAGTCTGGCACACCTGCTCTACGTTTGCTGCTGTGGTGACCCCTGCAGGAGCAGGCGGCTGAACGAAGGTTTATTTGATCTGGTTTACTAAAGATCAAACTAAAGTCAAATAGTTGTAAAAATATAAATTCTGTGGGCATAAAAACAGAGGAGGCAGAACAGCAAAAGGTTTCAACGGATTCACATCAGGCGGTCCAGTGTTCTCACTTTCAGACATTTCATTCTGTTTGTCTGTTTGAGGAGAAAAGACCCATTAAGTCATTAAGACTAAAACACGGCGTCACGTTGCTCGGTCCATCAGGCAGAATCTCTTTCCTGAGCAGAAATGTAATGGAAGTGGACATGTCGTGTCCCAGCAGGACGACTGCGATGAAAGCTTCCCCTGACGCTCGACGATGGAACAGAAGGGGACTGAAGAGGAGCCGGACCGAGAGGACATTAGAGGCCAAGTCAGAATGTGGTTGTCCAACAGGTCAGAGGTCCGTGCACGTAAACGAGCACAGAAATGTCAGCAGTGCTTTCTCTTTTAGTGCTCCTTTGTGTTCTGAAGACAACCTTTCAGGACGTCCCACTTTAAATAAACATCTTCGAGCAGCTTCCAAGCAGCAGAGAGAGAGAGAGATGTTCTTTTCTTCTTCAGAACTCTTTAAAACCAACTCAGAGTGGGGGGGGGGGGGGGGGCAGCACTTTAACCCTGGTCGTCTACCAGAGGCCTGGGTCCTGCAGCTTCTGTTCAGTATCTCAGCTGTTCCTAGGACTAGACTCTTCTGGACAGAGATCTCTGATGTTGTTCTGGGATCTGTTGAAGCCACTCTTCCAGTTTGGAGGTCACGGTACCAGATGATCCGAGTGGAACTACTGGCGACGACGTCTTGACGCTCCACATCTTCTGTATTTCCTCTTTCAGCTCTTGGTGTTTCTGCAGCTGCTCCTTCTTCCTGATGTTACAGTCAGTTTCTACTTTGTACATCTATCACCACCGCCTTCTTCTCCTGCTTGTAGATCACCACAATGCCCGGCTGGTCCTGTTTGATGGTCTGGATCTGGAAGTCCACAGGATCTTAACCCTTCCAGTGTCCACAACTTTTTTGGAGTCTCCCACTTTGACTGTTAAAGTCCATACTCGGCACAGATGTTCCTTTATATTGGTCCAGATGTTGCTGTACATTGTTCCAGATGTTCCTGTACATTGTTCCAGATGTTGCTGTACATTGTTCCAAATGTTCCTGTGCATTGTTCCAGATGTTGCTGTACATTATTCCAGCTGCTTGGTAATGGGGCTCCATGCATGCTTTGCCTGTCTGGGTCTTACATCCTGGTATTGTGTGTCAGACTGTCTCAGAGGCATCTTTCCACAGCCTGTATCTTGGGTCTTGTCTGCTATGGTAGACTTCGGCCTCTATTGCTCTTGTGCTGCCATGATTAGTGCCTCTGTCCTTCAGTCCATTTCTCTCTAGCCATTGGTAGGATTTAAGAATATTAGCCATGTCCTTGATCCAATCAGTCAAAGGTGGTATGTGTCATGCAGGGACTGATCTATCCATAATGTCTCCTCTTGGTCCCTCCTTTTCCACATATGGGTTTCTGCTGCTGCCTGAGACATTCACTCATCAGTTCTTCATTGGGACTTCTGATGTACTCCAAGATCTTATTTGTTTTGTCCTGTATAGTGGCTCGGACTCTCACTAGTCCTCTGCCTCCCTCCTTTCACATAGTGTATAGTCTCAAGATACTGGACTAGGTGAAACCCACCATGAGGAGCTTTCGAGTCTTGATGTCAGTGGATTCTGTCTTCTCCTTTGGCCAGGCTAGTATACCAGTTGGGTATCTGATGATGGTACTGCATACACGTTGATGGCTCAGACTTTGTTCTTGCCATTCAGCTGATTCTTCAGGACCTGCCTTACTCTCTGCAGGTACTTGTGTCAAACTTGTGTCAAAACAATTGTACTGACTGAACGGTTGCCCTACATTCAGGGCCCAGGTTAACAATGACTGCTTCTTTTTTCATTCAACCTTTATTTCTACAGGTTAGTCTCATTGAGTCACACAGGGGAGTGGTGGTGCAGAGCTTAGAGATGGTGGGCCTGTGATCAGAAGTTCGCTTGTTCAACTCCCAGTACCGACAACATCAAAATGTGGGTGGGAAAGGTGAAGCACCCACACCTGCCTCCAACCTCATTTACTCCACTTTGGGCCCAAGGCCCTTAACCCCCACCATTTGCTTCCCCGGATGCCCTAGACAGCAGCTCTTTGCTCCACACAGAGGCTGTGGTAGCTCGGTGGTCTGTGGTTGTGTCAGGAAGGGCATCCGGTTTAAAAATAATCACCAAGTCTTAGTGTGACAGTTCATTGTGAAGACCCCTGAAGAAAGAGCAGCCAAAAGAAGAAGTATCCAGGTGGCCCTCTTCCTGCATCTGGAGGTGTAGATGTCTGTGATGGTGGGGAGGCTGACTCCAACATCTTCTGTGCAGCCTTCACCACTCTCTGCAAAGCTTTTCTTTCTGCAGCTGTGCAGCCTCCATGCCACACGTTGATGCTGGAGCACAGGATGCTCTCCACTGCACACCTGTAGAAGGAGGTGAGGACTGAGCTTCCAGACCAGCTCGTCTCAGCCGTCTGAGGAAGTAGAGTCTCTGATGATCTTTCTTCATCAGGCTGGTGGTGTTGTTGCTCCAGCTGAGGTTGTTGTTCAGGTGCACACCCAAGTACTTGTAGCTGGAGACCACTTCCACTGCAGATCCTCCTATGTTCGGGGTGGGGGGGGGGGGGGGGGGGGGGGGGGGTGGGGGGTGTAGGTGTTTGTTCCTTCTGAAGTAAGGTTAAGTAAAGGTTGAATGAATAAAAAAAGCATGAGGGAGGCAGGAGAGGGAAAAGAAAGTGTCCATCTTCTTTGAGAGCACGTCTGGGAGAGAGAAGGTTAGGGTCAGGTTTGGGCAAATGAATGAAAAATGAATGGAAGTCAATGCAAAGTCCCTGTAAATATAGAAATACAAACTTGTTTGTGTGTGTGTGTGTGTGTGTGTGTGTGTGTGTGTGTGTGTGTGTGT